TTCTTTCCAGCTTGTTCGTCGTTTATTACAGGGAGGAAGCAATTACGCGAGCAATTAGGTGACCTTAGAGTCAAATCGTAGTACACGAGCCTTACAAAAGCCGATTAAAATAGAGAGATGTTCTCGTAAAGAAAGCAAACGTAAAGCGGACAAGGAAGAAAGACTGCTTTCATATTTCATCGGATTCGTTTTCTTCTTCGTCTATCGAATCTATGCTCGATTGAAATTATTGCCCTTCGATTTGATTCAATCGTACGAAAGCTTTTTCGGCCTTTGTCGATAAAAGGACAATATTTTTTTTCTACTATTAGCTCGGCAGATATGGCCAGCGACGAGTCGGACGTTGGAGTTTTTCGCGTATGGCTTGCTTTATAATCCTCTTCCGTCCTTCCCCCTCTCCCTCCTCTTTCCTTTTCTTTCTTGAGATGATGTCATCAACCCGAGATATACTATACCTATATGTAGTAAAGAGTGATAAGCGGACAAGGACGTTGCCTCGTAATGTTTCTGAATAGATAGATATTTCAAGATCATGGCAATCGTTATAAACTATCGTAGAATTATCGCCGCATCTTGTTTCACGTACCCAAGCGCTTATTCGATGGTATGTAATGCGAGTAATGTAAGTATGCGAGTATACGGAGTATTGCAAAGGACAAAGAAAACTTTGTAATTCCATTGTAAATGATATTTTGTTGGATCGAAGAGGAAACGCGAAATGACGGGGGATAAAATATGGGCCATTGAAATTGTTGGCAAGCTTGAGACTTGATTTTAATGAAATTAGTTCGTCCTTTGAAGTCGTCTTCGTGCGCCTTCGTGCCAAATTGAAAAGACGAGAAAACAATATATTTATATCTATGTAAAAGGTGAAAAGGAAAATTTCATCGCGGGATAGCATATCGTAGATCTATATATTCAGTATGCAATATATGTGCGTTATCTCGTGCCGCATCGTACGTTATATTTTCAGATTGTAGGAAGAAGTGTGACGCACGAGCGATAATATCCAAGATTTATTCGCCGTCGCCGCCGCTGTCGTCGTCGTCTTTGGCACGAATGGAACTGGATGTCGTTCGATTCGTCGTAAAGTTACTGCGATCGAAAAAGAAGGGAAAAAAAGAGAAAGAAAAAGAGAAGGCTTTTGACCGTCCGAACATGAAGCAATTTATTTTCGCAATGTTACGAGTCGTGTTCGATTTTTATAACTCGTTCAAACTTGGAGCCAAATAAAAACTTTCTTCGAAAGGATCGAAGCACGAACTCGCTGGTAATTGTTACTCGTACGGATGGCTTTATAAATCGTTTGCAAAAGGAAAAGATAGAAATAAAATTGGAAGAAGAGTAAAGGCAATTTTAGATCGCCAACATCTCTCTCTCTCTCTCTCTCTCTTTTCCTCAGTTTTGCCTTTAATTCTAATTTCAAAGTACGCTACTCTCGTAGCTTCGATAGATCAATAAGTTTGAAAAACGTTCGATCCGAAGGATCGCAAGATTGTGTTTCTTCGTAACGCGTTGGCGTTGTCAAACGATAAAGGAGTAGAAGCGATTAATGCATAAATATAATATAATAGAGGTGTTAAGGTAGGGGACCTCTTCTTGTTGTAAGGCATCGTAAGGCTTTCTTAGCGAGAATCAAAGCCAAGAGGCACCTCGTTATCCTCGAATCCATCGAGAATTAATAGAGCAGGAAGGATGATCGTTAAGCGAAACAGTATATATTCCGGTATATCGTTATCGCGGGCGCGCACGGGCGCGTTATTATTCCGGTCGAAGGTAAACGGAAGAAAGGAAAGGGGAGTAGCGAAACTCTCCTTTTTAACGCGTAGCAATTCCAACTTCCGCTCCCTTTGACAGGAGATCTCTCACGCGATTCTCCTTTAATTATCTCGCTCCCCGGTCTTAGGTTCTTCGAACCTAGGAGAAGGGAATCGAAGTCGGTTTTCTTACTAACGTAACTGCTCGAGGGACAACGAGCTCGTCGTTAGGTTAACAGCCGAAAGGCAAAACGGTCGGCACGGATAGACGCCGTGCACGCTCGATTACGCGTTCGGAATTCAATAGAGGCCCCCTGGTATTCGCGTCTAGCCTGACGCGTACCGTAATACGTTTCAAACGAGCTATCGACGTAACGTAATTCCCACGGAAGTTGCGGACGCGCCGACGACGCGTCCTCGATATGCAAAAACCTATGCGATACCTGGGTATTTGGCGTCGTGAAGGCAGACGTGCGCGCAGCTAGCACGCGTCTCCGACCGATCGACAGGAGGGTGTTGGGTTCCCGTTAACGCGTTTCTGTCGGAACGCTTTCTCTTTGCTTGCAACGATTTGGACGTGACGAGAAGATTGAATCCTACTTCGTCGCGATCGGCTAGGAATATTCCCAGTCATGTTTCTGGATTTAGATTTGATTTTTATCGATGATTTTATTCGCCGAACGTTTAATTGCACATGGAGAAATACGGTCGATTAAGATAAACTTAATGAAAGAGAGAAAGAGCGATGAGAAATTATGTTCGTCTTTGCGAGCGTTAAACGCTCTGCGACCTATGAACTGAGAGACTAGAGAGTGCTCGAGAGAGAGAGAGAGAGAGAGAGAGAGAGAGAGAGAGAGAGAGAATAAGAGTAAAAAAGGGCTCGAAGGAAAAAGCCCTTTCGAGCTTGTCGGCGCGCGTGGGCGTTGAGGTCTTGGCAGCTTCCTTCGCTTCAAGGCGATCGTGCGACGGAAGTGCTACGGCACCGTCGAGAGGATGTCACAATTAATGCTGACCGGGGCTCGTTAGCACGTTTCCTTTTTCCCTGACTCATCCCGATGGAAGTCGTCGCATCGAGGAAACGTAGATGGCACCGAGGAGGAGCCGTAGTAGGAAGTAAAAGCGTACGATCAGTCATACGCGATAAAGAGTTTTTCGGTTCGCACGGATTTTTTCGATTACGCGGTCCTTACGTACTTGCTTATATACGATCGGTGATCGACGTTCGGCTAACTTTAGCATCCATCCAATGTTCACGCTTCGATTCAGCTTTACCGTTCGCGCTGTATAATTTTACCATAACGGTGCTTTTTCTTTAGCAATGACAGCGATTCAAACGAACTTTTATTACGGTGGTTCGATCGAAGAAGAAATAAATAACAGCGTTTGAAATTTATTGTCCAACTTGTCTTGATTTATCGACTTCATAATATAGATTATACGAGTTGAAGAAAGGTACGTTCCTACATACATACGTGTATATAGCGGCGATCTCAATGAGGTAGAGCTCACCCTCAATGAGTTCATTATAAAAAAACATTTGTCGCCGATACAAAATATTTCGATCGATGCTACCAACCCAAGCCCTTTCTCGTGTTTAACAAAGTCTTCGTGTTTCTTTGACAGCGATTCGCTCCAAGAATATACGTACTTGTATACATCGAGTTGTTCAATGGTTTGTCGTATCTAAATAAACGAACCTTGAGACGCTTGCTTATCGGATGAAATGAATGACTGCCAAAGCGCCGAAGGATATACCACGTCGAGCGTTCGGCTACGTTATTGCTTCGTCTCTCTGTTTTTTCTCGTCTAGTTGTGTGATTCTTTCGAAGATTCGATCCTACGAGATAGAATCTTTAAGGTGCGACCGATACGTATACGTATGTACGTACGTACATTATTATTAGACGGTGAGTGAGGGATTGGGAGAGGGGGTAGGAGGTGGGCAGGCAAGGAGATATTCGAGAAATATTTCGAAAAGAGGATCGTAACGATAGAAGAAAGAGTTCCTTTTGTGAGAACAAAGTTAAAAATATCAAAGGGTGAAGAGGCTGGCTGGCTCTCTTTTGGTTCAGCGAATCGCGTTAATCGAGTTACTTGATTGTTCATTATCAGACGATACGCGAAGCGAGGTAAGGTCGAAGGCTAATTAAATACAACGTCTTCCCGATTGATACCGAGAGTATCTCGCCAAGATGTACGATCTTGGTTAACATCCTATCTATCGTAGCGGGAGGAGTGAGGAAGCCAAGCCTTCAATAAAATTGAAATAGCCTCGTTGAATATACTCGTGTGCGCGTGCGTGCGTGTGTGCGTCATGAAGGACAAAATTCGAGACGTCGAATTCGGACTCGTCTTTCCCGAGGAGAATCCGAATAAGAAACGCAGTGATCGGATCGATTGTCGTCGCATGCCTCGAGCCAAAAGACTCGAATAAGAGACTTTGTCGAAGTTATAGAACGAAGCGTCGATCGAAGCGCCGATAGTGTCGTAAACAGGAGATTATTTTCTTTCTCGGATTATCTCTCGATGTCTCGCCTCGATCTCTCTCGAGAAATCTTTGCTGACTCCGGAAGTTACCGAGCATGGTAGCACGCGAATATGCGACGCTTCTAATATCGGCGATGCCATTCTCGGTAATAAAACATTGAACAAACTTTGAACGAAAGTATGACGAATATCGTATAGCCTTGGGTTGATATTATGCGCTATATAATATACACCATCCATATATCGTAGGAAATGAAAACGTTAGAGCGGTTGCGTCGTACCACCTAGTCGAGAGCGTTGCGGCTTGCGGCTGCACGCTAGTTGCGGTAAAGTTTTAGTCGAGCTAATTACGCGTGAATTTCGAACATCGAGGATACACTTTGTCTTTCGATCGACGGAATGTACTTACGTGTATACCTACACGTTCAAACAGATTTATTGCATCTTTCTTTCGTGGAAAATATGGTCGGACAAAGTTTTTGAAACGAGAACGGTTAGTTAGATAGTTTTAACGATACGTCTTTGATCACGCCGACTCTTTTAATTTCTGTCTGCGAAATCGGTAAGAAATCGTAAATTTGTCGGGATTACATTGACGTTGCGCGAACATGGCTAAAGGATAATAACGAGAAACAAGAAATTTACCGTTGATATCGGTCCTCAATTTAATTCGTGCCATACGGAATAGACACCTGTTGTCAGATCGGCGCGAAACGCAGGCCGAGGTTAACCCGTGGTTTATTGTACGTGTTGCAGAGAATGGAACATGAAGGAGACGGGTGCGAGTTGGTAGTAGAAGCGAGACCGTCGTCGTCACCGATGCCACGTTGTTGGTCATCATCGTCGTCGTCGCCGTCGCCGTCGTCGTCGTCGTCGTCGTCGTCGTCGCCGCCGTCGTCGTCGTCGTCGTCGTCGTCGCCGTCGTCGTCGTCGTCGTCGCCGTCGTCATCGTCCAGCGTCACCAACATCCTTGTACTTTCAACGGAAGAAAAAACCGATCGGCATCGGTTCTCGTCAACGTTCTGGTCGTTCTCCTTGCCATATTGGTCCCTATCGGTGCCATCGTACGAAGTTACCGTAGTAGAGAGCTCGACGAGAGCGATCGGTGGTGGCCCGGGTGCTGCCGCCGGGCCGGCGATGCGACGATGAGCTCGTCGAGGGTGTTAGCATCACCACCACCACCACCACCACCACCACCACCACCACCACTACCACCACCACTACTACCATCACCATCGCCATTGACGCTATTATCTTTAGCACTCCACGCCCGTTTCTATCTACCGCCCTCCGATTGTTGTCATTGTTGCCGGAGATCTTACATTCCGGAAAAGTTAACGAGAGTAAAGACCTGGAGGAGGAGGGGGAAGAGGAGGAAAAGGGAGGTGGAGCGAGCCGGTGCTGGACCGACGACGAGGGCAACGACGACGACGACGACGACGACGACGACGACGAGGAGGAGGAGGACGACGACGACGACGAGAAGAAGAGTGAGGAGGACGGAAAGGGCGACGGCGACGACGTTTCTTCGATTCGTCCTTCGGCCATGGACCTCGAAACGAGGAACGGCACTGACAACAATGAAGACGACGACGAGTACACCAATATTCACTTTATCATTGGCGACCGCAGAGAGACGGCAACCTATCGCTCTGACCAGGTTACGGACAAGGAGCTGAAGGGTAGGTCTTCCTACTCGACCATTTTTTCTTTTTTTACTTTCTTTTTCCGTACCTCTTTTCCTTTATCCATTTTAATATCAAATTTCATTCGATATTTCAAGTACCACCGTCATCAACTTGAAATTGGCGAGAATTCGATTGCTCGTTGTCGGAACCAATTTCATGAGTTTGAAGAGTAGTTCTGTCCCTATCGGGAAACACGTCCCTTTGATTTTACGTTACACGTACTCGTGTATAAGCCGTAATAGGACGGTCTAGATTACTACAACAGGAAACGCGTTACGTTTGCACGTACTCGTATTTACTTCACTCTCATGCCGTGACCTATCGACCGTGTGCTTCTCCTCTCTTTGTTACGTACCGTTCTTTGAATATTTGACGAATCGTTTTATCCTCGTCACGTTTCTCACCTACGATTCAACTATTCGACTGATTCGACTGATTTTCATACGATCGATCGTACTTCGACACGTTCGATAGAGACCTCTTTGGATGCGGAAGAAACAACGAACGGTTAAACGTTTCTCTACTTAGGCATCATTGATAAGATTATTATGTTAATTAACTTGCATTCTCTCGGCTGCTTAAATAGCGTACTCGGTTGCGTACGATGGAAAATTATAGGAGCTCTTTTTGATCGCCGATCGAAAGTCGGTCTTTCTCTCTTTTGATCCTTACCGATTATGATTATTTAAGAAAAATAACGAGTACCGATAACAGGTGCATGCCCCGATAGGTAGAATCTTTAACGAAACTTCACGTTTCAACTTGGTGTATCGATCTTTTCTTCCGTGGCGCGTCTATCATGCGTTCGCAAGAATAGCTTTTCGTCTCCCGTGGGTGTACCCACCCGGCCAGGGATAGTATTATTTAAGAGAACAGTCCTTCGACCATACGAGAAACTTGTTCGTTTTAACGCCAGCTGTTTTTCGTTGGAAAAGTCGTTTCGAGCCAACAGTTTGTTTCAATTACTCGGAGAAAGCAAATTCCCGTAAAAATATGAAATGGATAACCGAGATGAGATATATTTTTATACTTATAATTACCTATCTTGCGCGTGACTCGTATAGCGTAGAAAGTTGAGAATTTCGAAAGATGGTTCCTCGATGGATCGTTCGATCGAGGAAAGTCACGTGTGCGCGTGCTCCTCGCAGGGGACGCGATTTTTCATTCGAACGGTACACTGGACCGTTCGTTACGTCGGACCTTTCGTAAGCGCTCGCGTATATATGCGTATTTATACTAGGTTTAGCTCGTGAAACAAATGGTAATACTACTAGGTGGAAGTAAATAGTAGGCGGTGGTAAATATCGATCGAACGACTACGAGCACCGAACAAGCTTTCCCGGGCTCTTCTTCGTTAGGAAGTTCTTGGAAATTCATTAATTTACCGGGCCGCTATCGAATATCGACGATTTCGCTTTCATTTTCATCTCGCGAGCTCGCATCGAAAGGAAACGTAAAAAAAGGAAAATGCCTTTTTTTCGTATCTCTTTCTCGTATCTCGATGTTTCCTTTTCGAAAAGAAAAATATTCTCGCGTCTGTATGAAAGATCTGTAAGGAAAGAAAAGCGACAAAGAAGAAAGGATTTTTACGTCGTCGCTTCTTATACAAATTATGAATAGTGGTCCTTAACGTTGGCCGAGTAAGAAATATAATTACGTTTTATAATCATGATGAATTCCTTTTTGTTATAGAAGAGCTCTTTGTGAAGAATAGACTGATTGTCGAAAGATGGAGAAAAATGAATATTAATTATTATATTTATTATAACGTTGGGCTTTACGATATCGTTAAACTTTCGTTTCGTTTCTAAACATCTAGCTCGTATTCGCGTAGAGGCAATTCAAATGTACGCGAGAAGCCGACTACTTTTCAAAGATTGCTAAATTTGTTACGCGCATGTGGTTCCGGAAAGCAACGAAATGCAACGAAAGTACGGGAGCTTCGAGCGGAAATCGAGTGCTAACAAATTATCAACGTTCTCGTTCAAGAATTTCCGGAAATTCCTGTTGGCCATTACCAACGACCGTGACGTGAAATTCCACTCATTTATTTCTGAAAACAGTAGCCCTTTGAAAGCCATTTTACTAACGATCCGACTAGTCCAATCGAGATCGAGAAAGGATGAGAAATTTATTAGGAGTGAATAAAAATTAGCATCCAAATTAATTTCTCTTTGTAGCAATCCTTTTCTTTTTTTCTTTTTTTTCTTTCGCTCGAACGAATGCATCTTTTAGTAAGATTCTTCATAAGCAGAGAGTAAAAGTGTCGCAAGCTTCTCCGCTATCGTTGGCGGGTACCGCAAAAGGGACTAACGAGTTATTATGCGTGTAATGCCGTACCGCATTATGCGCAATATACGACGTTTGTCGATATATCGATTTCATTTTGAACCGATGTTGGATGGTTAGGTACATAGTTCATTGACAACGATCAAGAAACTCGCGAGGCGATACATTCCGAGTACAATGGCTTCCTGCACCTCGTCCCAATGATATTGGCCTCAACAAAATAATGAATAAATTGAGCGTGGGTCAGAATAAAAATATAATCGTCCGCCGTACGTTCATGATTCACGTTTCATTATCCTATTAGAGCCAATGGACGGGTAGCAGAAGATGGACTCTCCTCTTCCTTCCTCTTGCGGCATCTCCCTTTCTCTCTTTCTCTCTCTCTCTCTCTCTCTCTCTCTTTCTCTCTCTCTCTCTCTCTCTCTCTCTCTCTCTCTCTTTCTCTCTCTTTCTCTCTTGGTCTCGCTACTATCCGTCGCGGACGCGTTTATTCTTCGCCGGAGGAACATTGAGAGAGTAAGATTCGGTCGGTCGTAAAAATCGTCCCGAGAGGCGATCGTTCGCGCGCTTTCGATCACCGTCGGCAACGTTGGCGGATAAACCGCCTTGCCGAAAAGCACAAACGGCTAAGGTACGAGAACCGCTTAGCGAGTCAATGCGTAGGAATAAAATCTTTCGTCTTGGCAGGCCGGTGTTCGCAGACAGAAGGGATGCAGGAGATACGGTGGGATAGAGGTGGGTGCGTCTATATTTGCGCGTTATAGCTCCGCTACTTTTTCTTTTTTTTTTTTTCGATTCGTTTGATTTCGAAGAAATATTCTAAGGTCGAAAAGATCAAAGATCGAGCGTCATGACTAAAAATACGAACTGTACTTAAGAATCAGATAACATGGCTTTCTCTTATGCTTATAGAGGCCGCTCCTAGTTTTCGAATCAATTAGAGCGGTTTACTTGACAAACGATGAACGCGCTCGATGCGAAGTTTACTCTGGAGGAGTTATGGTCGAGTGACCTTACGACACACAAAGAAGACGCGCAAGCTCGCGCTCACCGTCTATTCGTTTGCAAGTAACCGAATACTCCTAGTTCGATTTGTAGGATCGCGCATCTAACCCGTTTCCTTTTCTTTCTCTTATTTCTATTACACTAATCTCCGAGCTTTACTCGAGCGAAGTCTTTTTTTTTTCTTTTCTTTTTTTTTCTTTTTCGATCGAAAGCCGCCGTCAGCCCCGTTGTTTATTCACGAAAGTTCATGCAAGTAACACTTTTACCAGCTTCTTTCGCTCGTTGTTCATCATCGCCTTTGTAAAATCAAAGCGCGTCTTATTACCGAACGTAAATGGGATAAAGTTTTTCCAGTTTATAGGCGCCTTTATGGCCGTTATATCAGCGGCCTCTTTCCTTTCGAATTTTAGTTTTCCAGTCGATAATGCGAGATAACGTAGGCGAAATTTCTTTTTTTACGATCTTTCATAGACGAGGATCCGACGCGCAAACGCGAGAGAAAATAATAGAAGCGAAAGGAATTTGTAAATGATCACCGAGATAATCCGACGGCGTACACATATCGTAGGGACTTTGAGCAAAATTCATTTTTCATCTTACGACCTACGACATACGACAAAAGTATCCTTAGACGTACCGTATAGATAACGTGTACCGTATACGTTGTAAAGGATCTATAATGAAATATAAGCACATGGTCGTTTTATTACGATCTATCCTTTTTCTTTCTTTCGCATCGTTAGCCCTTTCTCTTTCTCTCTCGTCTTACGTATCGCCGACGTATACCATGAAAGTGATCAGGTAGATTAATCGTCGAATCTTTTTACGAATATTTCAGAACTCTTTAGAAACGCTGCGGAGGCTGGACCTCTGGATATCGTGAAGCTTCGCAAGGGAGATAAGCTCCTGAATATTTCGTGTCACTTGCCGGCAAATACTCCCGACACGCCCTATGTTCTTCAGGTAAGAGTACATCAATTTTAACATTCGTCATATAACAATGGATTTTATCGAAGAGAATATATACCTTGAATATATCCCTCGAATATATAGATCGCTTACATCCTCGTAGATATGTATATTCGCGTATTAACGTGCTCGAGTAACGTGCTCGAAGTAATCCAGCTTGCGTCGAATAATTTGGTGCATGCATAATTCGGTTCGGTATAATCCGATTTGATAACAACGTCGGGAAATGCACGGGGATCGGTTTTGTACAACGTTACAAATCGTTCAATGGCCCGCGAATCGTGCACGAATAAGCATCGAATACTGCGAGGACGACGATAGTGCTCGATAGTGCTCGAGCGCAATAAGTCGTCGATCCCTTTTATAAAATTGGATCTAATCCAGAATCTAATGCATAATTATAATTCAAGGAGGATCGGGTTCGGGAGGTTGTGATCGAGCGGTCTATTTATCAGAACGTTTGAAAGAAATTTCGCGAGAATCAAGAGTTCTTCTCCCGAAATAATGGAAGAGAAGAAATAATGAGGAGACATGTGTGAAAGGTGTAAAAATAATGGAAAGAAAGAATGGAAGGCGTCGCTGCGAGTGTCGTTATAAAAGGGTGTCGTTGTAAGAGGGCGATATTGTTCAAGGTCGTCGGTGCTCACCCCGCCTCCTCGGGGATGATGGAGTTAGAAGTTCTGCGGGCACTCGAGAGCCGCGTGGCGAGCCTGGAGCGGGAACTGCGCGAGCACCAGGAGGCCATTTGCGCGTCACCACCGTTGGCACTTCGGGAACTTAAGAGGCAGGTCGACAGCTTCAAGAACAAGCTCGAGACTACCGAGCACCTCAGCTGGCTGGGTGAGTAAGCCGACGAGATATTATGAGGACCGTCCTTGGTAGGCTCACTTCGCGCTTTTCGGTAGATCGAGTTGAAATATTCTTCTCGTATTTCGTCTCCAACCGATACCCTTGACGGTTTCGAACGGTCAAGTAAATTATATTTATTCGAGAGCTGGCCGAAAACCATCCTTGACAATTTGATGGTTTTTCTTTCTTGCCCATCCTCCGGTCGAAATTTATTTCGTGCCGTCGAACGATAGTTACTTCGGTTGAAAAATAATGGGGGAATAATCGGTGTCAGTCCTAAGTTTTCCCTCGTTGGCTTAACCAATATCGTTTGTTCTATTTGGAAATATCCATGAATCATAATTAAGAGATATCATTGTTGGAGTAACGCAGCTTTGTAATCGCGTCATTTTCAGGTTTCTACAAGCAACTTCCAGAACCCATTTCCTCGAAAGCATGTAGAAGGTTACAATATCGTCGGAAGAGCGACGGCATAAAGCGTAAAGTGCGAGAAAAGTTCCTCAACATCTGGTAAGTCGACGAACTTGATCTAATTTCTTTACTCGTCTTCTTACGCTTTCTAGACATTTTTAAATGTCATTAACATTCTCTCCATTTATCCTTTGACATTAGTAAATAGATGGATAGAGAATAAGATGAATCGATATACGCCATTCGGAGGATTAAAATTTTTCACAATCATCGTCGATTCGTTATCGCATATCGTTGGGATGAACATTGGTTATACGTCGTGGTCTCATCGACAAAATTGTTCCCATATATTATAGGTGGTCGAATGTTTGATTGGAATACCCACCCGAGAGGAGGGTGCATTTTGTGTTCGAAATGGGTCATCATCGGTCGCGGTGGCCCAAGACGATTAAACACCGGTTATAATCCTATCTATTAAGCGACAATACGTTCTTGTTTCCGGTTATATCTTCGTCGATCGTAATACGAACGAGGAGCTGTCTATCGTACTTGGCTATAATTGGTATGATTGAGAGCCTATCCAATGTTACGATTTTTACCAGCGACGCGTCTTGTATCATTTACGCGTAATAAATGTACCTATATCTCTGCTTGCGTAGATCATACCTTTTTTTCGAACGCTTCGAGATTATCCCGTTAAAATTGTACGCTTCGGAGAAACGTCAAAGTAACCTATCGACGTCGATTTGCGATTACAGAATTCGATTCGACGCGGATATTTCGCAGCTTTCAATCGTTTCAATTTCTACCGGAATGGAAGAGAATTTTCGTTCCATGCTTGGCGCTTATTATTCTCTCTCTCTCTCTCTCTCTCTCTCTCTCTCTCTCTCTCTCTCTCTCTCTCTCTCTCTCTCTCTCTCTTTCTCTCTCTCGCCCGCACATTCAAAGCTTTTCAGCCATCGAATGGAAGTGGCGCGTATACAGAAATTGGAACAAACGTCCAAGTGGACGAGATGGAAAATATTTTGAAATTCTCTTTTCGACTTTATTTCCTTGTATCGTAGTGCATCGTGGAATTGCTTATTCGATAGCGCTTTTAGTATAGCCGTAGAAAAAATGTTTAGATCGAATCGATATTCACGAAGGATCGAGATCTCTTGGATTCGTCGCGTAGCCTGTTAAAAATTTTTTGGCCAGCTGCCAATCTTTTTTTAATATTGCAGAATTTATGCGTTCGCCTCAAGGACCAAAGCGGACGCGTCATAAAGTTTTAAAAATATGTACGTCTTTGAGACGTACATATTTTCCCTATTGCAGGCGACACGAAACGATCTTCTTGATTTTCTGCTCTTCGTATGACGTTACACGAGCTTTTTATGTTTGGTACACTTAATCCATCTAAAAAGTTTCTTTGTAACGCTCGTTTCTCGTCAATTCGATGCCTCGTTATCGTTGATTTTCGTCTAGCTTTTGAAGAAAATATTGAAAGTGATGCGGTCATTTTTATCAACTCCGTAGAAGGTTTCTTTTTTCTTTTTTTTCTTTTTCTTCTTTTTTTTCCTTCTTTTTTTTTTTTTTTAAGAGTACAAAACAAAAATCATTTGGCTAAAAAGACCCTGCGGACGCGAAGAAGTGTCGTAAGCGTTGATACTCGAAAATTGCGTCGAACGGTAGTTTCGTTTTTCTTCCACGATCTAACGAGTTTTTAAGTCGAGACTTTCGTCTCGATAGGGAAAGAGGAAAAAGGAAAGTCGAGCTCGTTGTTTTTCATTTTCCAGCGGGGAATTTAGTTTTATACATCATAGGTACTTTATAATATCAGTGAGAAGAAAACAGGAAAAGGGAAAGAAGAGAGAGAGAGAGAGAGAGAGAGAGAGAGAGAGAGAGAGAAACCCAACGTAATAAAGGTTAGTAGGAAAGGTTAGTGCGATTGGTTTTTTCTTTGGAAGACCCACCAAAACAATTGTTATCATCTTTCGAAAGCCGACATCGGTCTCCGGGAATTGCGTCCGTTTCTAAATGGAAGTCACGTTGATGGAAAATGGTGATTCGAGGAAGCGCGGAACAACTTGGGGAATCTTAAAATAGGAGCTTTCGCGCATATGCATATCTGAGCAATGTCGAGGAATGTGGTTGTACTACGTAGCGCCGTGTACGTAGAATCGTCTATGTAGCTCCGAGATACCCTTTGCCGGCACCGGTATACAACGTTTTCACATCTTTCGCCGTTGTGTATATCGATTTATGCAGCTTTCGTAAAACTGGCATTCTGCCATAGATCCAATAACGAAGACTTTATAGATGCCTCCGAGGCAACCCTTTCGCGTGTTCCTTAATTGATTTTACTTTTATTACGGTCCCAAGGTGCACACGTAGGTACACCTTTCAGTTCTTGCGTTTGCGAGTTTAAACTTTGAGACGATTAAAGCGAGATACGCGACGTAATTGTATTTATAACGTGACGCTATAAACTGGCGTAAGCCGAACGCTTACTTCGAATACTAATAATAGAGAAACTTGTAATATAATTTTTCCTCAAAGGGAGAGTGGAAATTTAATCGATTAGTTGCAAAGTGTCAATAAATTAATTAAATCCTGGTCAGCGTTAATTTCTTTATTAATTGACTAAACGTGAGGGTGGGCTATCGTGCATTTCGTAGAAAGCGTTACAAAGCGTGATCGAACTTGGTAGAGTAAATCGATTTACTTATCGTACAATTTACGTTTAGTTCGCGCGATATCGAAATCAATGAACTCTTAAAGGGGAGATTAAAGATCGAAGATCAAAGATGCAATACGCTTTCGGATTCTCGTCGCTTCGTTCTCTTTCGAATGTTACCGCTCGGTGCCACCACAAACATTTATTTAGGGCTCGAAAAAGAAAGAAGACACCATTCCACGTCGTACCCTTACTCCCACACCCAATGGTGTTGGCTATTAACTCGAAGCTTGGAATTCAACATAAGAGCAACGGGGAATCTAATGTCCCCGTAGGTCAGCGATATGGAAAGGAGGATGCGCGAGAGTAGCACGAGAGAAAGCATTTCGTAGGCGATTAAGCTCGACGAGTCTGGTACTTTATCCGAGATTACCGTCCTACTACCGTGGGACGTAAATTGAATCCCGAAATGGGTGGACCACTCTCACTGAATCGTGGAAAATTCATGTCGTCGTTCTCCGCGTTAGATGCTTAAAAAATTCATTTTCCCATTGGAGAAGCATACTTCCGCGCAAACAAACGCCGAGGATTTCAATAAAAAAAAGAGGAAAAAGAAGAAAAAGAATGATTTCATAATTTCACGTAAATTACATTACTTCGCGTTAAGAGGAAAAAATTCTATTAAGAATTCTTCGGGTCGAGTCGCATCAGGCGTAAACTAATCTTGAGAATAATTAACGCTTTTTAAAGAGTCGAATATCCACCTTTACTTAGGGACATTATTATTAAGGAGACATTAATTAAATTCGCTATAAGGAATATTTTTTTTTGTTTTGAGACCTTTACTCTTTTAGCACTGTAAGAGTTGCGCGCGCGCGCGCGCGTGCAGGAATACATTGTTGGACGGTATTATCGAGCAGCGAACATAAACACGAGCGATGCGGCTTGAAAAGAGCGAGTAGCATGTACCGAGCTGCACTCGATGTGTAAATCCTGCTGTCGGTTCCGGGTCATCAATAATCCGAGGATTTTGAGCTCCCTTTTAACCGTTTACTCTCCCGCACTCGATTCAATACGGTGCATTAGGTAGGGCTCTCGTTTGTCGTAATTCACCAGTGTTTCCTCGTCGATGATTATCAAGCAAAAGGGGTGCTTCGAAGCGTTGCTTTACGGGACACAAATCCTGCGTGGTTTGACTAAAAAGACGGCAAATAGTCGATGGCAAAGCTTGCTTAACGCGAATCTCAAGTTTATTACAATGTATTTCTTGAGAAAATTCTGTGACTTATGACCTTTTTGATAATATACGTTACCTAAATCTGACTCGTTAATTAATCATGCTACTTAACGAAGGATAATGAATAATAATTGTGAGATAATTGGAGAACGATTATTCCGGATGCTTTTTATTTTTCTTCCTCGTTCGAGGAGAACTCGTAGTTGTATTAATTATAAATGAAAAACGTAGTTCTTTTCACGATGGATAAAACAAGCTCGTGAGAGAGAGAGAGAGAGAGAGAGAGAGAGAGAGAGAAAGGGAGGAGAAGACGAAACTTATCTTTTAATATCATTAACGAGTTGTACAGAGAGAACTCGCTCGTATAATTATCTATATTGTTTATACAGCTAATCATAGAAACGCATACGCATATTGTCACGATGGAATGGAATGAATTGTGTTATTCGCCATGGCGACGTAGTAAGCTTCTTAGCGCGTTACCGCAAAATGCTATTAAGCCGCCGTTAGCCGACTAATAATCAGATGTGGCGTACCAATAATAGCGACCGTCGCGAAGCGTGCATTATCACGATGCCGATGCGATTTCGTGCGCCGACCTAAATTATTGGATTGGCAATTAGCGCGTAGCTCGTTATCATTTTCATTGAAATAATTCTGTTCTCTTCCTTTCGTCGAGACGCGGCCTTAAGTAATATCGTTGATTTGATGTTTGGGAATCGTTTCAGCGATGTGGCCATGTCATCGAACGTTCGAGAATGGCTTCGCTCGCCGGCCTTCGATGCCCGACAATGGGAAGACGAGGAGCTCCTTCTGATGCTGCAAACGATGTTCGTCGAGCTCGACCTACCTCAAAAGTTCAACATTCCCTTATACGTTCTGAGGAACTTTCTATACGAGGTCTACATAAACTACAACGAGGTGCCATTCCATAACTTCCGGCATTGTTTCTGCGTCGCTCAAATGGTAAGGACGATTTAATCGTCAAATAATCATATGATATATATGCGCGATCGAGGAATAAATGTATAGATAAGGTAATTTTGCAAAACGCAGATGTACGCGATAGCTTGGGCGGTGGATTTGCCGTCGCGGATCGGCAACCTCGAGGTCTTCGTCCTGATTGTCTCCTGCATATGCCACGACCTCGATCATCCGGGCTACAACAACATCTATCAGATAAACGCGCGTACCGAGTTGGCCCTGCGTTACAACGATATCTCGCCTCTGGAGAATCATCACTGTTCGGTGGCCTTTCGCGTCCTAGAGTCCGCCGAGTGTAACATCTTGGCGTCCTTGGACTGTTCGACCTACAGGACGGTGCGCGAAGGTATCATACGATGCATTCTCGCAACCGACATGGCAAGGCATAACGAGATACTAGCGCAATTCACCGACATCATCGCGGACTTCGATTACTCGAACAGGGCCCACATTAATCTGGTATGCGTTCATAATCATTTTATCTCGTCGTTTTAACGAGACAAAACCTCTTTTAAAACTTGACGATGGAAAATCACTTTTTTAGGACCAAGTACACGAACGATATAAAATTCTTTTTCTGTTTACGGTAGCTATCGATGATCCTGATAAAGGTTGCCGACATCAGTAATGAGGCACGGCCTATGGAAGTCGCGGAACCGTGGTTGGACAGGTTGCTTCAAGAGTTCTTCAAGCAGAGCGACGCGGAGAAACTCGAAGGGCTTCCGGTAACTCCGTTTATGGATCGTGACAAAGTGACAAAACCCTCGTCGCAGTGCAGCTTTATCGGCCTAGTTCTTCTTCCTCTCTTCGAAGCCCTCGGCGAGCTGTTTCCCGAACTCGAGGTAACGCAATCAATATTCCTCGCTGATGATACCCACCAGTTTGTCGTGTCGTTCGGCTTTAACATCAAATAATTAGGTACGTATTAGATATCCATATATATGTCAAACGGAGTTCTCTTTGCAGGATCTCATAGTGCGACCGGTGAGAGAAGCTCTCGAGTATTATCGAAGACTTAACGAGGCGGCAAAGGACGAGCGGCATCATCGTAAGAGCGTGGTAGATCTCGGAGAATCGAATCAGTCTTTGGCCCAGGTCGCGACTAGTTCAACGGCCGCGGCCTCGACGTCGACGTCGACGTCGACATCGGCAACGACGGCGGTCGTCAAATCTACCTCGTCTCATAGCATGCGCTCTAAACGTTCCGCCGGTACTATTCACTCGAGATCGCGCTCGACGGAGGAGGACATTACGACGGAAGATCTAACGATCGAGGAAGCGGAGAATCTCGAGAGTTCGGATCCCGAGACGGCAACCGAAGTCGAGATCAGTGAGAAGACGTTAAAGTTTAAAATCTCGACGGAGGGTACGACCGTTGGATCTGCCACGCATTCCGGCAGAAAGAGTTATCCCGGTAGCCGGAAGGGCAGCAAGGAGAAATCCTCCTTGGATTATCACAATTACGAGCTTGCGCGAGCCATGAGGGAACACGAGCGCGAGCGCGATCGAGAGCGCGAGAGGGAGAGGGAGAGGAGACGTAGCCGCGGCGAGAACAATCTCGGGAGTGATCTTAGCTCGCCGGTTAGCGTGAGATCGATCGACGGCAGTAAAATACTCGAAGAACTCGAGCGAGACGATTCCATTTTCTTCGATGAGAACGTCATCAACGAGGAGATACAGGTGGTCGAGGGTAACGGGAACGCGATCGGTGACTTCCAAAAGGAACGTACCAGAAGGAATGGCTCGAAGCATCAATCCTCTTCCGGGATAGGTCGCAAGGACGTTCCGATAATTCGACGAGAATCGATCGTCTCTTTGCGTTGCTCTTGCGACGACAAGAGCAACTCCTCGAATAATCACAAGTCGTTGCTATCGCGTTTGAGGAACTTTACGGATCGTTTGAGCATAAGTTTCGACTCCAAAGATTCACCTAGTCCAAGAGCCACGAAACACGTGGCGAAAAGTCTGAATAAAAACAATTCCATGAGCGCTAATACTTGCACCGCTATCGCCAGGCGCCGGCAACAGCAGCAGCAGCAGCAGCAGCAGCGCGATCCTCCGAGCATTTGCAAGCGATGTAATCTCAGGAAAGTAGTAGCGAGCAAGGAGGACGCCGGAAAGATCCCTCCGACGACGGTAGTCGAGCTGTCGAGGGCTATAGATAAGAGGGCTATGACGTTGCCGAAAGTGAGAAAGATGCAGGATTCGAAGAGTAAGGGTTGGAAGACGGTCTTCGCGAAGGAAAGAAAATCGTCGGCCTCGTTGGAAGTTTTACCCGGCGAGAATAAGTCGATCGAATCGAAGCATCGGAGAAATCTATCGAATCCGGAAGGTAAATGTTCAAAGGGGCAAAAGGGCCTCGACATTGGCATCGACATCGGCATAGACATAGACATCGAGTTCAAGGAGATCGAGGTGCGCCCTTCTAGAGGCATCGGTCAGCAACAACGGGAAAAACCAGAGATAGTCGTTAATCCGGATAGCTCGTCGCCGTGCGGATACGAGGACGCCGAGGATATGGGAAAAGTCGAAATCAGACGGAGCTCCGCCAGTATGGAGGACATATCAAAGATCACGAAGCAAACTGAAAATATTCTTTTGGGCTCCTTGGAGGCAAAAAAAGCGGAGGACCTTCAGCATACGGGTAGTTTAGACTCGATGCTTTGTAAGGAGTCGTTAAAGGCGAGGAAAAAGATTAACGCGTTCTCATCGCCTGCCGCCTCGAAGAAATCCTCGCCGGGTCTCTTTTCGCGTTTCAAGTCAGGCATGAGCATCGACAGCACCAGGAGCAACAGCAACAGCGGTTCGTTGCACGATCAGGGCTCGCAACACTCTCAGACCGGTTGGATATCCTCCTTGGCCGCAAGTTTTCGGCCAAAGAGACAAACGACGAGCGAGTTGCCGTCCTCGTCGACCCCGGTCCATCCCCAATCACAGAAATCTCAGAGCCGCGATGAGATCAAGTGATACGTCCTTCGCGTCGATCGAGGAGCCGAAAGAGATGGATCTTCCAATTCGTCGCGTCGAGAATGGTGGGCGCGACAGCCGTTCTGCTGCAACAGCTAATTTAGCGCGAGAAGAAACTCTCTTCTTCGGCTCGCGATCGAGCGCGATATTTGATTTGCCAAATCGCTACCAAATTTTTTTCCCGGTGTTCCAGCGAGTCGCGCTTCGACCATGGAATCGACCAAATTTCTAACGAGACTTTCCAATTCCTTGGATTTCGGTGTAGCATCTCATTTTTCCCTTGCTACGCGACCTCCTACGCGTCACGCCATTTTTTCTCCCTTTCTTCTTTTTATTCTTTATATTTTGTTTTTCTTCCTTTCTTTCTTTCTTTCCCTCTCTTCTTCCTCCCTTTTCTTTCCATTCCTTTTCTTTTCTTTTTTCGATAAACATAGATTAGGTTATTTATTGTCGAATCATGGCACAGCCTAACGAGTAAATGTCAATGTTGTTCGTTGAATAGATGCGCGTATATACCTATATATATATATATATGAATATACGGAAAAGAGGTAAGCGTAGAAGAATAAACGCCCTTAAGGTATTCGTCTCGTTCGACATCGGACAACACATTGTGTACGCATACGTGTGTCGCTTAAGCGCGTTTTACGCATGTGTGCAGCTATTTGTGTACATATAAGACACGTCACACACAACAAGTTTATATATGTATATATACATAGGATATGCTAGTTAGATAGAGAAAAAATGTTGATTCGTAGACGGATCGACTCTTGCGTGTATGATACAGAAACGAACGAAAGATATAGGTATGAGAGATAGCTCTAGTGGAAATAAGAAAGACGCAGCCTAATTGTCTTTCTGATTTGTGATCGGTGAAACGATCGACGAACGATCGACCGCTCGATCCCTCGACGTTGTTGAAACACGCGCCTTTTTTTTTTTTTTAATCTTCGATTACTTTTTTTTCTGCTTTCCTCTTTTTTTAAATGTTTATATTTTTATACTATTATTACATCGGCGTGTCCGTAAGCGATTAAGAAACCGCACGTATTGTTGAACTCTAGTCTTACGTTATTGTTTTTGAGAGAGAGAGGGGGGGGAAGGAGAGGAGAGGAGAGGGGGAGAGCCTGAACCTATATTAGGGTATTTTTTAGTTTTTTAATTTTTTCTTTTTTTCTTTTTTTTTTTTTTTTTTTTTTTTTTTTTCTTTTTTTTAATAACGACCGTAGCTTTATTCTTTAGGGGGTAAGTTTACCCTTCGACTTTGACGATCTCAACGATCGTTTTGCGTTAACGCGCCTAACGTTCCTTTCAACCTTTTCCTTTCGTTGCGTCGAGGAAAAAGGTTCGTTAAGTTTTATCGAAGGAAAATAATTGAGAAATCAAATGAATGCGACGAGCAATGTCTACGAGTTGACTCTAATGATACTTTTAAATTTTGAGACACGCCTCTTCATCGAATCAAAAATCGTCACTTCCTGGAAATACTAAACAAATATTGTTCTACGTATGTATATCGATTCGTCGATCGTCTGTCTGTCTCTTACGACTATAAATGTGCAAACTTCCTTTAGATGTATGAACTTTTATCCTAAAGATTGCGAGTAGAAAAAAAGGACTACCTTTTATATCGGTATATGTTGGCAATTCGGAAGGATTCGAAATCGTGGAATGAGAATTGGAAGGAACGAGAGTGCTACGCCGTGCGTTAAGAGAAAGAGAGAGTATGTGTGTGAGAGAGAGAGAGCAAGAGAGAGAGAGAGAGAGAGAGAGAGAGAGAGAGAGAGAGAGTGAAAGCCGCGTAAAGTAAATGTATAGACTATATATGATCAATTATCAAACACTATCTGTGCCTGACCTACGTATTTATTTGTCATTTTCCTAATTACTAATCTTACCCTCTTCTCATATGGCCGAATAAATGTGGGCCAATTTTTCTAACTAAACTGGTAAAAAAAAAAAAAGAGAAGATTTTTAATCTAGCCGGACAATCAATATCGCTCGATAGAATTCCAAATGGATCGTTAAAAACGTATCTCTATCGAATGTTCGAAGCGTCTTACGATTTTACTTAAAAACCGAGAAATGTATGAACGATAAAAACGCGTTTCCGCGAAAATCGAACTAAAGCATCAAAACAAAAATTTGAAATATATTTTTAAATGTCCACTTTAATACTAATGCTTTTTTATCGGTTAGTATATATAAATTAGAGTCGATCGAATAGCAGATATAATTCTCTGACCGCGCATGGTTAATGCGCGTGATACGTGCTAAGAGGAAGAGAAGAAGAAAAAGGGAAAGTGAGAGCAGCGATCAAAAAGTTGAAACTTTGAAATCGATATCAAATGGGCCAAGCGGGTCGCATCCTCGCGACACCGCCCTCACTTGTCAATTCGTTATTTACTCGCACTACGTGTCCTTCTCATATTTCAATTACCATTGTCAATTACGGAATACAACCGGTCGATCTCTGTCACAGCTTCTCTTATCTCCAAAGAGAATTTACTTTAGTGTCGTGAAATATTAAAATCCTATTAAGCGCACCGTCGAATCCGATTCTCCTCTGTCATGCGTTGGTCCTATCGAACAATACGACAAATTTATCCGTTTGTCGTCTTTCCCAATCCATAGATTAACGAACGAGATTCATAAAGTACAGATTAAACTGCTTATTTTATCTCATATGAAAATAGCACGAACTGACCCAATGTCGTATATAAGGAAAAAGATAAGTATACAAATGAACGAAAAAAAGAAAAAAGAAAAAAAAATATATATATATATACATGAATTACAGTTCTATGTACGGATAGAAATATATTTAGCTGATACGAGAGTTTAACCGTTTGCGTATCAGACAAAACATAATCGAAAAACGCCAAGGAGCATAATCGCGCTTCGTCGATTACATATCGAAAAAAGCCGAAGAGCGCGATAGCGCTTGTCATGTTCAATGCGGTAAACAAACATATATGCAATACATAAAATAAAGTTATGAATGAAAAAATATATATATATAATATATATATATATATATATATATATATATATATTAATAGTATATATATATTATTATATATATATATATTATATATATATATATATATATATATATATATATATATATATATTCTATTAATTTAGAATAGATAACTACAAAATATAAAATGGATTACTGATAGCGATGCGACGTACATGCGTCTGAAAGGCTGAACGCGTTTTGACAAATTTCAGGTGGGTCGTCATTTGTCTGTTTCGGTCAAATGTCCTGGCTTTTTTCGACACAAAATCTAAAGAGCGCGAAAATGGTTCGTGGTACGCAAACGATTAAGGAGACTTTGAGGAGAGATTGAGAAAGAAATAAAAGGATACTGTTAACTTAAGCTCGCGGGCGAGTTACTACTATGATAATCTAATGATGTAACGTGTGTGTAAGAGAAGCTGCGTATAAAGAAAAAAAGAAAAACGGCATGAAAAAAAAAAAAAAAAAAAGAATTTCCGCATTGCGGAAAATGCGTCGACGACTTATTGTCCAACTACGACGATAAATTCCGATCCGTGTGGATAGATTTAATTCGATAGTTGTTTAAAGAATTTCGCCCTTGTGCCAATAAATGTAAAAATAAAGACACGAATGATCTCGTTCGTTTCCTCGTCTAAGTAAAATGTTCTAAATCAAAATCGGTAATTAGATCATAAAAAAATTTGACGATCAGTTATAGATCGCAGCTAACACGCTGATATGACATTTAGAAAGAAAATAAAACGAAAGAACGATGTATTATCATCGTAACCCGCACGCACATGCACACACACACACACACACACACACACACACACATACGCACGCACGCACACACATAGAAAATAATAATGAGAACGAGGCGAATAAAGTATATACGATGATAATGTCTATTGCGTGGTACTTATCTATCCATTTGATTCCAATATGTCGTAATAATAACAATGTTATACTAATATTATTGTCCAAGCGATACATGGTTGAATTCTACGGCCATAAGATCGGTCTTTTTTGTAAATGTAATTGTGCGAATGAGACGAAGGGAACGATAAAGATACGTGAAAAGGATCGAGCCGGGTTAAAAACAATATTTCCTCGTGTGTATCTTAAATTGGTATTATTTCAATAAAAGAAGAAGCTGTTCCATTAATCGAAACGAAAAATTTGTCTCATCATTCGTAGATTTACGTTAGATTGGATATTAATAAGAGAAATTAGGCGAAAAAACGTAAATTAATAATTTGTTCCTTTATTTTGTCTCTTTAAAGACATAAGAATTTTAAATGTATCAGCGAAATAATATAAATATCGTAAGTCTAAAAACCAGTAAAGTTGAAAAACGTTCAGGCAACATTTTGGACGTACTTGCGAACGTTCAATTGTATACCGCCTAAAGGTGTGGTCGTTAAGCCTTTCGGATCGTAACGCATCGGTATAATAGTACTTTCGCACGGAGAGTATTCATATTCCTTAAGTAAATGTATCAAGCCTAGTTTGGCCTGCAAAAGTCCGATGCGTGTTCCTAAAATGAAAAGAAAAACGATAAAAAGGATAAGTTAATGAATATCGAAATCGTTCCTAATCGTCCTAATGTAATTAAAAGTATAGTTATTACCTATACAAACGTGGGGTCCTTCGCCGAAGGGAAAATAAACGTAACCCTGTCTGTTCCTCTTGTTAACTTCGTTGAATCTTTCAGGATCGAATTTTTCCGGGTTAGGGAAATATTGGGGATCGTAATGCATTCCAATCATCGATATCATAATAGGAGTACCCTTTTCGATGATCAGATCGGAATTAGGGACTTTGTAATCTTGATTGGCGATGCGATCCAAAAAACCCAACGGTGGATACATTCGAAGCGTTTCCGAGACGACCATGTCTAAATATGGTAAAGTGGTGACCTAAAGTGTCGAGCAAGGGAATAAAAAAACAACGTTGCGTCATCATGCGACATTAATTAAAAAAATTTACAGAAATTTTTCTTGAACGTAATCGCGACTATGCTGCTGCGGTAGATATGATTAAATGAAAAGATAAAAAATTGTTATGTAATTCAAGTGTCGAAAGTTGTTTTTCTTTTTTTTTTTTTTCTTTCATCGATATTACGCTCTCGCAATGAATTAAATTAATTATATATTATCACAGTTGAAATTGTAATTATAGTTTACGATGTTACCATGTCGTAAGTAAATTTTCCATTATTTTTATCTATAGCCTCCAGGATTTCTTCCCTGAGTTTCGTCTGGAGATCAGGTTGAAGGGCCAATTCGTAAACGGTAAAGGCCATAACCGTCGAGGAGGTCTCGAAGCCACCCGAGAAGAAGATGGCCGTTTGAGCGACCAAATCGTCACCGTCGAATTCTAAAGAAATAGGTATATAAGGCCAGTAAATTATTATCGATCGTTCGTTCGATTTTACTTACTAAATCCGCCGAGATCCTCATCGCCGTAAGTCTTTTTAAGTTCGATCAGCAGATCTATCAGGTCGTTTCTCTTATTACCAGAAGCTATTCGCTCGTTGATAACGTTCCAAAAAGTGTCACGAAGAAAATTACTGACTTCTTTCCCAAAGAATTTGGCGCCTATTGATTTGACGATGCCCGGTATAAAGAATATCGACAAGAATTCGAAGCCCCGACTAAAGTTATATTCGAATATCTTTTGGCCATATTTACGAAACTCGGCATTCGGATTGCTTAGGGAATTAGTTCGAAGGCCAAAGGCGGTCGTGCCAATTAGATCGGTGGTAAATTTCGCGCAAATCTCCTTCATCTCCATATTTTTTCCTTTATCTGTAGAGACATTGAGTCTGTGATTACAATTCGTTCTAAGTGACAACTAATTCGTAAAAAAAAAATATATATATATATACGTACATATATGAATAAATATGTATCCTACCTTCCAATCCTAAGGAATCGAGATATTTATCGAGATCGTTGCCAATCTCGATCATCAACTCGAACATTTTCTTCAATTTACCGGACGTAAAGATCGGAGTGAGCTTTGCCCTTAAAATTTTCCAGCCAGGATTTTTCATCATAAATAAATTGGCATAGCCCAAACGATCGTTCACATCCGGGGAGGCATATCTGTCGAAGAAATAATTGAAATCTTTGACGAGAACGTTTTTTACCAACTCAGGATCGCGTATCAGGATGAAGGGTTTGTCGAATATGTAGAAGCCTATATAGGGTAATCCCTCGGATCGTTTGTAGAGCTCCTGGACGAACTCCGCGGAAGATTTTTTCATGGTGAAGCAATCCCAAAAATTGCCAATAAACGGTAACGGTGGGATTTCCATTATCCCGCGTTTCTGCCAATACTTAAATTTTCTCGTCATATAGAGATAAGCGAGTATCCAAAGGGAGAAGAAAAGTACAATACCGTCGAGGCCCCAGTACGCCGTTAGAATCGCCATTTCTTCAAACTCGTATGTAATCTGCACTGAAAACTTTCCACTGAACCGAACTCTTTTAAAAATATATCTATTTAATTATAGAAATGTTGTGTCGATCGAAAAATTTGCCTAGAGTAATTGATATCTATCTCGATTCGAAATAATATCACTAACTAAACTGTAGTTAAATATCTATTTACTTTCACTTTCCTTCGAGAGATTTAATTTCTCATTACGACGCAGGCGAATTACCTTTCTAAAGAACGGAAGGTTAAGAACTTTGCGTTCTTGTTTGGCGAAGTTGTATTTATGAATACGTATCCCTCCCAACAGTTCTCCCTCCAATAGCGTATCTCATTTTCTTATATCATCGTCTTGTGCGTGTTAATGGATAATTTAACAAACATAAAACACTTTCATTTTGATTTTATAAAATATTTCCTATTTCACTTTATCTTAATCGAATATATATATATATATATATATATATATATATATAATATATATGATATAATATATAATGATATGCATATGATGTAATATATATTATATCATATATATTATATGTATATTATAATTATATAATATAATTATATATTATATAATTATATATTATATTATATATATTAAAATAAAATGCTTAATTGTTTGAGCAATGAACTCTCATTTCATTTTGCTAATAATATTATTCCGATTTCTCGATCTATACAATGCACTATTTTGAAATTTGAAGTGCATATAGCCGGGTGATAAAAAGTCATCTCGCTAGAATCGGGCGTTTCAATTTAATCCGATTTATCCGTTAATTCATTTTATTTCGATTTAATATCTGAATAGCATCTCGAACGTATTTCTACGATAAAATGTACATATTCCTCCGAGCGAGGAATTTGCGATCGTTTGTTGATTCTCTTATTTTTCGCTTTGTTCTTCTTTCTTTTTTCTACTCTTTGATAAAAATAATTGGCTAGGCAGAGTAATAATTGTCAATGAACGATTAAAAAAAATGTTAAGTAGGATGCTATTGAAAGTGCTCCATCATACGCATATTTCCTCCAAGAGAAAATTACATAGCAATGTTCTTCCTTTGTAGTTTTCTTAATTATACATTACTTATCGCGTTGTCGGGGGAAAAAGTAATAATATTAATGCTTATTGTCTCGTTGATATTTTTTTCTATGAATCATTGTAAATTCATTTTTTATTTGCAATATATTTTTTTTTCCTAATATATGTATCAACGGATATACATTTATATACATGTATAATATGAAATATAGGATATACATTTATAATATGAAATATAGGAAATGATCAATCGTTCTCAAGTTCACTTATGTTTAGATACAATCCTCCCAATGCCGTAATGGTCAATCCTTTGGGATCTAAGCGTATAGGTATCAGCGTCTTTTCGCATGGCGAAACTCGATATTTTCTTAATATCTGTACAAGACCGTATTTAGATTCCAAAAGACCAAGTCGGAGCCCTGTAAGAATTGAATAAAAAATAATTAGTGACTAATTGTAGGAGAAAAAAGAAGAAGAAAAAAATGTTTACACTTACCGATACACATGTGAGGAC